TTCTCTACACTCATTGAGCCAATGTAGTCTATAAGGGTTGGAGTGTTTAATACAAGATAACCCTAACTTGTCAACTAGTAAAGTACTGGCGACATTGGCAAACCTGCCTCTGTCTATGATCAGACTACATACCTTCTCATTCATATGACATCTGGTGTGGAAGATATTCTCTCTTTGATTGTTGTCTGTCTCTTTAGAATGTATATTTAGGGCTCTCCTGACAACCAATATCCCACCCTGCATAGGGGCTGCTAAATTGTCTTCACAATCACTTAGTGATGTTCTACTATCATTAGCACTTCAATATTCACTACTAGTCTCTATCTCATCATCATCTCGCAATAGTATGATATTTTTGTTGGGGCACTGTGACGTAATGTGTCTAACTCCAAGGCACCTAAAACACTTAATAGAACTTGGTCTTTGAGTAGCAGTATGTGGTTTAGGGTTACCTTTAGATTCAGTAAAGTTAGGTTTGTCTCTCCTTTCTTCAAATCTCTTTCTTTATTCCTTTTTGGGCCATATGAAACTAAATTGAGGGGTAGACTGAGAATTACATCTAGAAGAACCTCTATACTTTAGATGTTTTTCAATTTTCATAGTCATGTGTACCATCTCATCTAGATTTATATAGTGATGCAGTTCTATAGAATTAACAATCTCTCTATTTAAACCACTCAGAATTCTAGCCATGGTGGCTTCTGAACTCCCATAAACTCTAGCCCTTATCATTGCTATCTCCATCTCCTTGTGGTAATCTTCCATCGAGAGGGATCCTTAGGTTAATCTTTGGAGCTTTTGGTACAATTCCCTATCATAATAAGATGGGATAAATTTCTTTATTATAATATACTTCATCTCTCTCCAGGTGGATATAGGTTAGTCTTCATCTCTTCTTTTGAGGATGGTCACTCGATCCCACCAAGCAAATGCATAATTTGTGAACTCGACTGCTACTAGCTTTACTTTCTTTCTTAGCTTCCTTATAGTTGTGGCAATCAAAAATCAACTCTACCTTCCGTTCCCACTAGAGATAGATCTCTACATCATTTTTTCCTCTAAATGGGGCTATCTGAATCTTGGTGGATCTGATGTCATCATTTTCCCTCTGGATTTCTCCTTTTTCACCTTCACTATTGTCGCCATGTGACTCATCATCATCCTAGCGGTGTCGGCATCTGGGATGACTATGATTCCTTCCTCTATCTCTCTCATCCATTCTTGTTGATATACCTTCAATGGCTAAGCTCAGTCTATTATACATGTCTTCCATCCTAGCCTTCATGCGTTCTTCTAAGGTCATAAGTCAGTTGGTTTCACTAAGCTATGTCATATATACAAAAAGATGTTAATGGAAAAAAGAAATTACTCCCTCACAATCACTCGTGTTTACCTCTCTTGAATTAAGACAAGAAAGTTGTCTTTTAAGACTCTATAAAGAATCCTAAAAATGAATCTTGTTCTCTAAAAGTTCAAAAGCACATGTAAGAAGATATGAATGCTCTTATGCTTATAGCTAAATAGTTAGGATGCAATTAACAACTTAGATGTATAATGGAATTAAAGCACTTACGAAAAATTAAAATTAAGAGTAGAAAAAAGACAATACGTAATTATTCTATCCCAATGATGACTGCGCTCTATGACTCACTTGAGTTTCTATGATGCAGAAACTAATACAGAATATTGAATGTAATGTTGTAAAAAGAAAACAAGCAAGTCACACACCTCTTTTTTTTTTTTTTTGCTTTATGTTTTTTTTCCTCTTTGTTTTTTTAACAGATTCTATTTTTTCCAGAATCTCTCTCTTTTTAAAAAAAAAAATTATAATAACATGGTAAAAACCTTCTTA